ATGGCCTTTTTGCAGGAAGGTGGGTGAGAGGAGGTGTATTCTAGGTAGTTGTGGGAGTCGGTAGGTTTGAAATGAATATCGGTTTCCAGGTGGATGCCAGATATGGAGACAGAGAGGTCCAGGAAGGAGAGAGAGGTATCAGAGATGGTCCAGGTGAACTTAAGGTTGGGGTGGAAGGTGTTAGTGAAGTGGATGAACTGTTCGAGCTCCTTGTGGGAGCACGAGGCGGCGCCGATACAGTCATCAATGTAACGGAGGAAGAGGTGGGGGATAGAGCCAGTGTAGTTTTGGAAGAGGGATTGTTCCACGTATCCTACAAAGAGGCAGGCATAGCTTGGGCCCATGCGGGTATCCATACATTCTTTTGTGTTGCCTTTTTTAGTTTATACTGTTGTTATGGCAAGTTGAATATTTTGCACTTAATCTATATGGGGAAATTCTGTTGTCAGGATCAATTTATTTTAGTCGGTTGTAACAAGCTACAAGCATAATTCAATATCAGATTCTGAAGCATCATAAACCCGAAGTGAATGTCGAATTAGCTCCACCAGAGATTGTGACTTGTCTTTAACAAATTCATTATAGCTGTACGGTATCAGTGAAATTATAAAACAGAATTCATGTAAAGGCACTTGATTTTTCACATTCTTGGTGATTGAAGCTGCGGTAAATAATTGGGTGAAAGCCAAATCATTATACAACTCAAAAAAAAGGAATTATATAATTTTACCGAACTGTGTTAAGAAAAGTTTACTGGAATTATATCAGAAAAGTCTACGTACCACAAAATTCTCTACTCAAAGTCAATTAACATCCACTGACAGTGAGAGAGATACAGTATAGTTTTCAAGCTTCTGAACTGAATAAAAACACTATCATCCTGAGTCTTCTGTCCATTTTTCAAATCAGTTGGACTGACCTTGCCTAGTTCCACTCTTAATTGTCTGATCACAGCAACTGCATCCCCACTAATGGCCTCCCTTCCTGTCACTGGACAGTTACTTCTGCAAAACCCAAAGATCCAGCCTTGATCGCCTTGTCCAGTGCATACCGCCTGTAGGTGAAATCATCAATAAACATGAGGCTAACTCTCACTTCCAGGCAGATGGCACTGAACACTTTTCTCTTCATCATCATTTGTACTATTCTCTAGCCCACTCAGTCTGAGAGAAATAGAAAAGCAGACATGTAGACAAATTTCAGAGAAGCGTAAAACTAAAAGGGGATTTCAACTTCCCCAACTTAACTGGGTTCACCATAGTGTGAAATGTTTAGGAAGAGTGGAATTCTTGAAATGCATCCAGGAGACTTTTTAAGCCATACATGGAAGGCACCACGACAGAGGTGTCCCTGGATTTAATTCTAGGTCATGAAGCCATGCAAGAGATTGAAGTATCAGTGGAGGAGTATTTTGCAGACAGCGATCATACCTCTGTTCGTTTCAAGAATGTTATGGAAAAGGGCAAAGATGAGCCTGAAATCAAAGTTCTAAACTAGGGAAAGGCCAGTTTTAAGAAGATCAGGTATGATTTGGCCAGAGTGGACTGGGAACTGATTCTTCTAATTAAATCTGTGTCAGAGCAGTGGATCACATTCAAAAAGGAAATAGGAAGAATACAAGGTCATGAAAGAATAATGGCAGGTAAAATAATAGAAAGTCCTATGTTAATTTACAAGTACCTCAAGGATAAAAAGGATATCTGGGGAAAGGATAGGGCCCATAAAAGACAACTGCTAATTTGTACGTGGAGCCACAGGTTGATATTCTAAATGAATACTTTGCCTTGGTAATCACTAGTGAGAGAGGTGATATGGGTTAAGAAATCAGGGTGATATACTTAAAGAAGTTAGCATATATAGAGGAGGTTTTGAGTGATCTGGCAGGCTTAAAAGTAAATAAATCTCCAGAACAGAATGAAATGCATCCCATTGTTGAGTGAGGCAAGAGAAAGAAGTAATAGGAGCACTGGCAATAATTTTCAATTCCTCCATGGCTACAAAAGAAGTTTCAGATGACTGGAAGACAGCAATTGTGGTGTGTCATTATTTAAGAAGGGAGCAAGAGATAAACTAGAAAACTACAGGAAGTCAGTCTAACCTCAGTGGTGAGGAAACTATTGGAAGAAATCCTGAGGGACAAAATTAATTTGCAATTGGAGAGGCACATGAAGGTGTGATATGGGAGACTGGAATGTATCTTCCCCTAGTTCTTTTCCTCAATCTCTCTCCTCTGACCTCCACCAACCCCATTCACCACTGCACCCACTGTTCAGTCATGCCAGGCATTTCCAATTTTTGGCCCACACGCTGGTCTTTGGCAGCTCACCCTTCCATGTTTAATGGGATGGCTTTGGGACCAAATCAAGTTGAGCCATTTGTTTCAGCCTCCCCTAACTTTATTGGCTGAAACATAGCATTTAAGTGCAAGGAGGTTATGATGTATAAAAAGTTGGTTAGACTACTGCTAGAGTATCATATGCAGTCCTAGAATTCACAATATAGGAGGGATGTGATTGCACTGGTGAGGATGCAGAGACTTCTAGTTATAGAGATGTGATAGACTAGGGTTGACTTTATTGAAGCATGGGAGTCTGAGGGGGACATGGTTGAGATGTACAAAATAGTGAGGACACAGATAGGGTAGATGGGAAGAAATTTTTCCCTTGATGGAAGTATCACTGACTGGCGGAATAGATTTAAGGTCAGGCCAGAAGGTTTGGAAGAGATGGAAGACAGCAGTTGTGGTGTGTCATTATTTAAGAAGGGAGCAAGAGATAAACCAGAAAAAAAAAAATCATAGAATCATTGAATCCCTACAGTGTGGAAACAGGCTCTTCAGCCCAACAAGTCCACACTCAACCTCAGAGCATCCCACCCAGACCCATCCCCCTATAACCCACCTAAACTATGCCTCCCTGAACACTACGGGCAATTTAGCATGGCCAATCCACCTAACCTGCACATCTTTGGACTGTGGGAGGTAACCGGAGCACCCAGAGGAAACCCACACAGACATGGGGAGAACGTGCAAACTCCACACAGACAGTCGCCCGAGGCTGGAATCGAACCCGGGTCCCTGGCGCTGTGAGGCAGCAGTGCTAACCACTGTGCCACTGTGCCACCCCTAAACTACAGGAAGTCAGCCTAACCTCAGTGGTGAGGAAACTATTGGAAGAAATCCTGAAGTGCGAATCTGGAACTCACTGCCTGTAAGAGTGTCAGAGGCATAAACCCATATAACATTGAAGATGATATGCTCTTGCGATGCCTATGCATAGAAGATTATGGGCCTAGTGATCGAAATGGAATTAGAAAAGTCAGGTGGTTATATTTTGGCTGGTGCAGACTTGATGGGCCAAAGGGCCTTTCTCTCCACTCTAAATCTCTATGACAGTGATGATATCATGAGTAGCACTCTTAGAGATATACTGATCTTGAGACATAACACAGCAGGCTGGACAATTCCACAGTGAAAACTGTACATTGTGTGAACAAATTATTTTCATTTTCATTTCATCACTTGAAGTTGCCTGCAAACACAAGGATGTTTAATTTCTCCACTTCCATTTCTTGCTTTAGGTTTTCCAGCATTCTTTTCCTGTCCATTGTTGCTACATTCCAGATTCCTAATCATTTAGGAGTACCCAGCTTGTATGGAATTGCCCCAGATAATGACCAGGGAGACCTCATTGCCTCCCTGGCCAAGTGTGATCTCATTTATTATGTGTCAAGGCTTCCCATCTAAGCTGTTTATTTGTGCTGATGCCATCCTGAGCCATTTTCTTGGCTATTTTCCGTCATGGCTCACCATTGCCTTCCAGTGTGGTGCTGGTTTAGTTGCCAACAACTTGGCCTGTGTGATAGGACTACAGTGACACCAGTAGCAAATCTGACCTATCACATGTATTTTCCAAAAATTCTACTGACAGAAATCACCACAGAAGAATATTCATCAATATTTATGTTAACTCAATATTTAAGTCAATGCATTATTTTTCTCAAAACTAATCAAATTTAAGACTCCATATTCAGCCAAATTTGATTACTGTAACCTTGTAAGGATCACTGCCTGAGATCACACATCTGATAATATGTATCATTCCCAGCATTTCAAAAGTACATTAGCGAGGACTCTGAGCATATTCAGGCTGATTCACAGATTTAGCGCTCTTCAAGCTAAGAAAATTGAGAGAAAATTTCTTTGAAGAAAAAAAAAGATCCAGCTGGGAAATAAAAAGAAAATTCAACATTCATGATGTCAATTAAAGCAGGTTATTAAACTAGGACTGAGAACAAAAAACAAAATCTACTGGACATAGAACTCAAAATTGTGAAACCCACAAGAAGATTAGCAGATCACACTTTTTTCTATTTCTCAACACCTCGAGTAGTATATATCTGGAATAGAATCCCAGCCAAACCATTTGGGTGGGTTAACTTTTCCATAAAGAAGGTGGATTGTTCTCAGAATGGGAACAAGATGAAAGATTAATAAAGTGTGGGACAGAGTACAACAATCATGTGCTCTTTTTCCAATCTTTCTAATATCAGATCACACATCAGATCTGACATTGTCTATTCAAAAATCATTAACAATTTTTGTTCAAAAATGTACATACTAACTATTTCATTTTACAGGTAAAACACAAAAAAGTCACTTCAATCTCAGTGCACGTAACCCGTAACTATACAACATCCAGCACATCATCACATCATAGTGCACTATTTTCATAAAACACCCATGTCAGACTGCTTCACACTACTACTCAAATACCAAATAATGAAGGAATAAAACTGCAAGATAATGACAATTACTTCAAGCCACCTTTCTGAGATCAGGGGTTGGGGGATAGTGAAGGAAGATGCAAGTAGTATAAGCTACACATGAATACATAACAGTGAGTTCAAAGCAATGTTTCCACACAGATTACAATACATTGTGCAAAATGTGCACTAGTTGACTGGATAGGATAAAGTGGAACTGAAATTCCATATCCTACCTGAATATGGTACCTCCGGGTCTTGTGGTAACTGCCCTGGGTCAGCAAAGGATGCTCTCACTAATGAGGTGATGCAGCACAATGACACCATGTAATAAACTAAAAAAGAAGATTACTTCTTTCAAAATTGTTTTGATTACTTTTTGAATTTTTATATATTAGACATTTAGAGCTTGTAAATCACTCGTTACATTAACATCTCACTAAAGTAACTCCAGAGGCCAAGTCACCCTTCATGTACACATGGAGAGTCCTTGACACTGATCCACCTCTCTCACAGCCAGCTCTCAGAGTGACCAGGATGTCTGACACTCCTGTTCTTTATTTAATTTATTTTTTCATATATATAGTTCTTGTTAGTCTCTGAGCTGAAGGTATTCTGAATCCCCTGTTTACATTTTTTTTGTTATCCCCACACTATGCTGCACAGCAGTCGTGCTTACTTTTTCCTCACAGCACCTGTTTTGTGTATGTAAGGGCAGGGACTCAGTGAAAATACCATGTGCAAAAAATTTATTTAATACTCCCGCCACCAGGAAAACACCCATGTAGCCGGGGAACCAGTGACAAGCAAAAGGAGAAAGCTTGGCAATCAACAGTCAATCATCATTGACTGCTGCATTCTCTGCCTCCACTAGAGTCCACCTGCCAAGGTGCACATGCTCTCAAGACAATCCTGCTCTTATCTGTTCTCCAGGGTTCCCTGTTTGGGGCTGTTATTCTGATCCAATCAGAGAACTTTGATTTGATTTAGTTTATTGTCACATGTATTTAGTACGAATATAGGGAAAGTGTTTGTAGTGTCACCACTCTCTGACACCATCTTAAAACACAGAAAATAAACCAAAACACAGAATATAAAGCCAGGAAAATAAAACAATAAAGTTCATCTTATAGTCTTATCTCAATAAAGTCATTTGAACAGCTCCACCTTCTAACTCAGTCCTCAGCTTAGCTCACGCTCCTCCTTCCCAATGCCACAAGTCCCTGCTCCTAACGCGCTACGCCACGCTGCCACTGAAAGAAAGAGTCACTACTCTCTGACGCTATCCCACCTCCACCCACACCACCATGAGTTCACACCAGGCCAACCTCGCCAATGCTGCCACCACTGGTACTGCAGGGGGCTGCACTCGGACCAACTTGCCGCCATCGCCGCCTTTGCCGTCAGGTGCCTGGGTCTAGCCTGCAAAATTGGAGCAGGGGATTAAGCCTGGTCCTTGCTCATCGGGAGACTTCGGGCTGCAGTGGAGCCATGTCCACCTCTTCCTCACATTACTGCTGCCACCACTGGATTAATTCTCCTCATGTCAGAACATAGAACACTACAGCACAGGAATGGGCCATTAGGCCTGTGATGTTGTGCTGAACATGACATCAAATTAACTAATTCCCTTCTCCCTGTCCTTGGTCCATGTCCCTCCATTCCTTGCATATTCACCTGCTTATCTGAAAGTCTCTTAAATGGCCCTATGGTATCTGCCTCCACCACCACCACCACTGGCAGCACATTCCAGACTCCTAACACTCTATAAAAAACATGCCCCTCACATCTCATTTCAACTTACCCCTCTCACTTAAATGCATGCCCCCTAGTTTTAGGCATTTCAACTCTGGGTAAAACATTCCGACCGTCGATCCTATCTATGCATCTCAATTTTATAGACTTCCCTCAAGCCTCCTCTCAGACTCCGCCGTTCCAGAGAAAGTAATCTGAGTTTTTCTAGCTTCTCTTTATATCTCGTACCCTCCTAATCCAGGCATTATCCTAGTAAGCCTCTTCTGCACCCTATTCAAAGCTTCCACATCCTTTGTGTAATGTAGCAACCAGAATTGAACACAATACTGTAAATGCGGCCTAACCAAAGTCTATGTCATTCTATGATATTCTACCTCATATCCTAGGAGGTCCACTTGGCTGACCTCGTTACAATCACGACATTTCTCCCCCTCTGAGTTTGAGGACATAGGCCTGTTCTTCTTTTTGTAGCCCCTCCTGGGGTGTTTTGGCACCAGGTCAAGTTCCTCCAACTCTGCATCTACTATGGATGGCGTATAATGCACAGTAGCTTGCCCCTTGCGCCTGGAGCATCTCAGAAGAAATTCACTCTGTTTTTCAGGCGGCAAAGGCATTGAGGCAGTGACATCTGATGTGTCCATCTCAGACTCAGAGTTATCTTTAATACTTGACCGACAGGGAGAGCACACGGGTTCCAGAACAGTCGGAAAGGCTGCCGAGGAGCCAGGCAGGTGTTGTGCCCACATAATTTGAGAGTTTCAGCTTTCATACGGTCCGTCTGCATGTTCAGGACCATTACACATGCCCAAACTTTATACTTCACCAGACGTGACCTCGCATCGACCATGCCTCTTACCCATGTAGGGCCATTCCTGTGGTTCCTGCACCAAATTTCATCTCCTGAAGCAAACTGTCTATCTCACTTGTGTCCAGAATTGGTGTTCCCGATGCCATTTCACATCCCTCCACCCAGGACTGAAGGCTTACTACAGGCCTCCCAACAGCCAGCAGGAGATAGAAGAACAGATATGTAGGCAGATTTTGGCAAGATGTCAAAGTAACAGGGTTGTTGTCATGGGTGATTTTAACTTCTCATTTATTGACTTGGACTCACTCAGTGCTTGGGACGTGGATGGGGCAGGGTTCGTAAGGAGCATCCAGAAGGGCTTCTTGAAACAGTATGTAGATAGTCCAACTAGGAGTGGGGCTGTATTAGAACTTGTATTGGGCAATGAGCCTGGCCAGGTGGTCGACGTCTCAGTAGGGGAGCAGCTCGGGAACAGTAATGACAATTCAGCAAGCTTTAAAGGTACTGATGGATAAAGATAAGTGTCGGTGTCAGATGAAAGTGCTAAATGTGGGGGGGGAAGGCTAATTACAACAATATTAGGTGGAAACTGAAGAATGTAGATTGGAGGCAGATGTTTGAGGGCAAATCAACATCTGGTATATAGGAGGCTTTCACGTGTAAGTTGATAGGAACTCAGGACTGGCACATTCCGGTAAGGATGAAAGATAAGTATGGCAAGTTTACGGAACCTTGGATAATGAGAGATAGTGTGAGCCTAGTCAAAAAGAAAAAAGAAGCATTTGTCAAGGCTGGGAAGCTGGGAACACATGAAGCTAGGGTGGAATACAAGGAAAGTCAAAAGAAACTTAAGCAAAAAGTCAGGAGGGCTAAAAGCTGCCATCTTTGTGTTTAAATCCTCCATGCAAGGGATTGGGCATTTTTCCAGCTACAAAAAGCAGTTTACCATTTGTTTAAAATCCCCACAAAGGCAAACCGACTCATCGAGGTTCATGATCAGTGTTGCCCATTCCGCAAACTGTACTGGATCAATGATTCCTTCACTTTCCAGCCTTCTGATTACTGCCTCTACTTTCGTCCGTAAGGCAAATGGCACTAGACAGGCCTTGCAGAATCGTGGAATTGCTTCCTGGTCAACATACAAGGTGACCTTGGCTGCTTTGGTAGACCATAGATCTTCCTGAAAAATGTTTGGATATTTAACTATGACTTTACTCAAGCAGCCATTTTCTACTCAAAAAATGTTGAGCCAATCTAGATGAAACTTTCTCAACCAATTTGGATTCATCAAGCTCGGGCCCGAGCCTTTTACTACAATCAGTGGTAACTGAACCAGCTGCTTCTCATAGAGACTGGAACCTAAGTTGTACCCTTAATCTGTAAAGGTTCCCTGGTAGAAGTCTAGCCAAGGTCTTGTGCATACCCAAGGGTTGGAGTCCAGAACGAATTTTGATAAAGGCAGGCTCTGTGATCACTGAAATTGCCACACCAGTATCCATTATAACCAGGTGCCCATTTAACCAGATGTTCATTTTGATTGGTTCTGATTTGGATGTTGCTAAGCATTTTAACTGTTCAAAACCAGATGTAGGTGGACTTTCCACGGTGTGCATTCTCATGGATACCGGCATATGAAGTCTCTTTCTCAATTTAGGTCTAGTGGCACTCTTTTACTGTCTACAGTCTGCATACCGGCAACTACTACAGTAGCTTGCTGGCTCAGATCCTAAAGAAAATTTTAATCTTTTGGCCAAAGCTTGTCTTTGCTTTGGGGTTTTGCTGTGGGCTGATCTAGAGCCCCTCTGTTCAGGATATATCCTGACTGAGGCTATGCAATAGTCTTCATTCAAGTAGTGTTCTCCAAGCTCAGTCAGACAGAAGGGAGCCCACTTCCATCAGAATACCCTGCAACTCATATGTTCCATTTGCGGCGTATTTCAATGGTAAAGCCAGTTGTAGTGTCTGTTTGAAGGGCTTTAGCTAGTCGGCACTTTTGCTTGGTTACAACATTACTCCCACATACCAAATGGTCTCTCAGCATCTCATTAAGGGTTAAACCAAAGTCACATGCCTCCGCTGGTCATCTTAACCCAATCAAAAATCCCAATACGGATTTCCCTGCTTCTCCAATTGCTAAGTAAAACCGATAGTACCTCAGAATTACAGGAAGATTGGAGTCGTAATATTCCTTAGCTAAATCCATCAACTCTTGAAAGGATTCAATATCTGGTGCCTAAGGGAAAGTTAGATTCCTAATAACCGAAAAAGCTGTAGTTCCACAAACTGTCAGGGGAATTAGTTATTGCTTTTCATCTGTCCCATTGTCATTCGCCCAGAACAAATAACGTATTTTTTCCATATTCTGTGCCCAGTCTTCGATGGCAGGATCAAACAAGGCAAGATTCCCAAATAATAACATGATGCCAGAAATGCTTTCCCCAACTCAAAGACATCTGTTGCAAGTGAATTTCTTCAGGAGCGTGCTTTTCTCTCATCACAAATGAAATAACTCCACAGAGGCTGGTATCCAATCACCAATTCACCCTTTACTTATAAGTGGAGAATCCTTGACACTGATCCAGCTTCCTCAGAGCCAGCTCTCAGAGTGAACAAGATGCCTGACACTCCTGTTCTTATCCATCAGCCAGGGCTCAGAAAATGGACCAGATTAACAGCCCCAAACAGGGAACCCATATTTTATGAGATCCACCTGGCTGTCCTTGTTACAATCATTGTACTCATTTATTGGCAACTATAAATGGTTCCTGAGGAGATGATGTTAGAACAGGGCTATGAAAACCCTAATATAGATACAGTTGATTATCATTTTATTTCAGGAGGATGTAAATATTTTGGAGTCAGTTCAGAAAATGTTTACGAGACAATTATCTGGAATTGGAAGGTGTTAGTGTTAGGTTTGTCTCATGGGGAACGTTTGGATATGCTAGACATGTATCTACATAAGCTTACAAGAGTAAGGAGTATCTTCATCAAAATGTACAAGATTCTGAGGATTCTTGACAAGGCGTCACAGAGCTCTAAAGCAAGGGCCCTTCAGTCCATCAAATGGGGGAGGCAATGGCCTAGTGGTATCATCATTGGACTGTTAAACCAGAGACCCAGAGGACCCGGGTTGAAATCCCACCATGGCAGATGGTGGAATTTGAATTCATAAAATACCTGGAATTAAGAATCTAATGACGACCATGAATCCATTGCCAATTGTCGGAAAGACCCATCTAGTTCACTAATGTCCTTTAGGGAAGGAAACTACCATCCTTACCTTGTCTGGCCTACATGTGACTCCAGACCCACAGCAATGTGGCTGACTCTGAATTGCCCTCTGGGCAATCACGGATGGGCAATAAATGCTGCCTAGCCAGCCGTGCCCTCATCTCATTAATGAATAAAGCAAAAAAAACTCTGTGCTGATAAAAAACAATCAACTAACCAGCCTAATCCCACTTTCCAGCACTTGGCCCATAGTCTTGAATGCCTCGTCGTCAAAAGATGTTTCCCTTGTGGGAGAATCTAAAAGTTAAGGTCACGATTTAACCCCACCTTCAGAACAGAGATTTTTTTCTCTCAAGGGGCACTGAATCTTTGAAACTCTCTTCCTGAAAAGGTGATAGAAACAGAATCCTTGAATATTTTTAAAGTAAAGGTAGACCTTTAATCTATTCATTGAAAAAAGTCTTTGCGTTATTTGGGAACGAGGATTTGAGATTATAATCAGGTTAGATCTTATTTTACCGAATGATTGGAATGGGCATTGAGGTGGGATGACCTGTTCCTAATCCATACGTACATTTTATACATTTCTACTTCTTTCTGTGTCTTTATTTAAAAGTGTGCACGAGTTTGACAATTGACTCAAGCAACTATATGGCCTTGGGGTCATCAACAGTGACAAGTACAATGTTGAGACCATAAATGCTGCCCCATAGCTTCGGCATAATGAGGGCAGAGCAGGACAGGAGAACTGTGCAGTTGGTCTGAGTTTGCAGAGATCAAAAATGAAGCAATTAAAACAAAGTAAATGGTTGCTCCAAAGTATTCATTTTAATGCAGTTCATGTGTCATATTTCTTGCAAAATAATTAGAAAAAACAAGAGATTAAGAGCTTTTATCCTCTTGAAAAGCTTTTAAAACGACCTTTGGAGAGTGAAGGAGGGCAAGCCAGGAGCACCACCAAGCATATCTAAAAATGAAGTGAAGCTACTGTTGTATGCCAAATAGCATAGCCAACAAGTGATAGACAGAGATACAGAATCCCACAATCAAAAGACCATATCTAAATTCTGGCTAGCAACTCTTGGTGCTGGACATTGAAGCCTCCTACTCATAGTACATTCTGTGTCTTTGCCACTCTCAGCACTTCCTCCAAGTGGTGTTCAACATGAAGAGTACTGATTCGTCAGCCAAGGGAGGATGGTATAGGGTAATCAGGTTTTCTTTGCTTGTGTTAGACCTGATGCTATGAGATTTCATGGTGTCTAGAAGGTTGAGGACTTCCATGGCAACTCCATCCTGACTGCAAACTGCCACAATGTCTGCTGGATCTGTCCTACCAGTGGGACAGGACTTACCCAGGAACAGCCACAGTGGTGTCTGGAACATTATCTGGAAGGTATGATTTCATGAGTGTGACTATGTCAGGCTGTCATTTGACAGTTCTCCCAATTTTGATATACCTAACAGATGTTGATAAAGAGGATTTTACTAAGTTAACAAGTCTGGGATTGTTGTTACTGTTGTTGGTGCTTAGGTCAGTATTGGGTGGTCCATCTGGCTTCATCCCTTTTCAACTTTTCTATTCTGAAGAATCATGTTTTAGACAGCACCCAGTGGTGCATGTCACAAATAATTAAAAAGGGAACAAAAATGTACAGAGAAAAAAACTTGTAAAATTAAATTAAAATATCACTTCTTGCAGTAATGATACATTCCAGTCCCTGCAGTGTACACCTATCATGGAAAGCCTGTTTCACATACTCTCTCATCATGGACAGCCAAACACAGACATCACCTTGGAAAAGGCGTCGGCAGTCGGGTGCCATGACACCCACACACAACCTACTGCATCGACCTGTTAATGACTATGTTCATTGATCATCGAATCCCCACAGTGTGGAAAAAGGCCCTTTGGCCCAACAAGTCCACAACAAACCTCAGAGCATTCCACCCAGACCCATTCCCCTGTAACCCACCTAATCTACATATCCCTGGACACTATGGGCAATTTAGCATGGTCAATCCACCTAGCTTGCACATCTTTGGACTGTGGGAGGAAACCGGAGCACCTGGAGGAAACCCACACAGACACAGGGAGAATGTGCAAACTCCACACAGACAGGCGCCCGAGATGGGATCGAACCTGCGTCCCTGGTGTTGTGAGGCAGTAGTGCTAACCACTGAGCCACCGTGCCACCCCAAAAATTTGGCCTACTGATCTGTAAGAGTCAAACACATTGCTATGGGTCTGGAATCACATGTCAGAAGGCATGTTTCCTTACTAAAGGACATTAGTGAACCAGGTGTGCTTTTATGGGCACAATTACTGAAACAAGCTTTCAATCTTAAATTACAAATTTAAATTCCATCAGCTGGCATTTGAATTCAATTCTCCAGAGTATTCCTCCAGGTCTTCAGATTATTAGTTCAGCGATATCACTATTGTGATACCATCTCCTAAAGTATTTGTATATTACACCCTCCTTTCATACAAAAATAGTTGTGAACGTATGACCTCTCGATTGCAAGACTTACTAAAGTAGAAGGAAATCACATAGTAACTTTTGTCTGTGAGTTGGTGATGAAACTGCAACAGTACTGGATGTCCAGTTAAACAGTGGTGAAAGAAAGCAATTCTACTCACGCACTATCACAGCAGCTGGAATGTGTTGCTCTTCGTAGTGAGGGAAGAGGATAAGTTTGGGAACGTAGAGTGTGTTATAAAGCCAAACAAAGGTGATGATGCTGACACAACACCAGCCCTGTGGGTCGTAGACTAAGTGAATTTGAAGCCCCATCACTGAAAGTTTGTTCACTGGCTGGTAGCTGGAATTTAATCAATCACGTCTGCGTGTCCTGCTCAGACAGAAAAATAACATAAAAATAACCATAACATTTACTAAATAGTCCATAAATAAAATAGATTTCATTTGACTGCACAGTTTCATTATTCAGCATTAAATATCTCTCATCCAAATCCAGTTCTGGTCGCCCTATTATAGGAAGGATATAATTAAGCTGGAGGGGGTTCAGAAGAGATTTACCAGAATGTTGTCAGGAATGGACGATTTGAGTTATAAGGAGAGGCTGGATAGACTGGGAATTTTTTTTCACTGGAGCATAGGAGGTTGAGGGGTGACCTTATAGAGGTTTATCTATACCCTTTATGATTTTATAAGCTAAATGGCAGGTATCTTCCCGAGGGTGGAGGATTTCAAGAATAGGGGTAATATTTTTAAGGTGAGAGGAGAAGGATTTAAGACAGACATGAGGGGCAATTTCTTTACACAGAGAGTGGGTTGTGTGTGGAAAGAAATTCCAGAGGAAGTGGTAGATATGTGTACAGTCACAATGTTTAAAAGACATTTAGGTAAGTACATGAATAAGAAATGTTTGGAGGGATATGAACCATATGCAGACAGGTGGGACTAATTTATTTTGGAATCATGGTCAGCATGGACTGATTGGACAGTATGACTCTATGGCCCTTCCAACAAAGGCACAAACAGCAGACATTATAATATCTAAAATTTTTTTTTTAAATCAGTGTATACTAAAGAAAAGAAGAGAGAATATTGCAATTAGCAAAAATATACAGGCAATTATTGGGGTAAGAATTAACAGGATGTACTGGAAAGCCTGTCAATACGGAGAATGAAGAGGTCCACATGGTCCCATTCAATATCACCAAGGTTCACCTTCGGTGGGCTTCATCTCCACTTTCCCACCCACTCCTAGATCCCTCAATTCTCCAAGAGATGAAACATCTCTATATCTCATCAATAATCCTCTAGGGCTGCAGAATTTCAAAGATTCTTTTGTTATGAGATTTCTATTTAATCCTGCCTCATTGCATAAAACTAGATGTAAAATCGCTTTATCTCCAGTTGGTTCCACAGCATTTTAGTGCATGGAAACTGATCTTCACCTCAAGTACACACCAGGACTCTTCAGCACCAGTGCCTGGAAAGTGAACAAGAGTATGAACCCAGGCTGAAGACACCCAGGAACACCAAATCCAACAAATCTACTTCTACCATGCGACCAACATGAAAAACTAAGAACAAAGATGGTACAGTGCAGGATCAGGCCTTTTGGCCCACCAAGACTGCACCAACACATGATGCCTTTCTAAACTAAAAACCTTTTGCCTCTATGTGATCCGTATGCCACTATTCCCTGCCTATTCATATATCTTTCCAGATGTCTCTGAAACATTTCTGTTGTACCCACCTCCACCGCTTCCTCTGGCAACACATTCCAAGCATTTACTACCCTCTCTCTCATCTTGTTTAAACTTACCTCTTTTACCTTAAACCTGTGTCCCCTAGTAATTGACATTTCTATCCTGGGAAAAAGACTCCAACTACCCATTCCAGCCAGGATGCTCACAATTTTGTAAACTTCTAACAGCTTCTCCCTCATCCTTCGACATTCAAGTGAAAACAAACCAAGTTTGTCCACTCTCTCCTCATAGCTCAAACCCTCCAAACCAGGCAACATCTTGGTAAACTATTTCTGCACCTCTCCTCTTGCAGTTTGGTGACCAGAACTATACACAATATCTCGAATGCGCACAAAGTAAAGTTCTATACTGCTGCAACATGAGAGATGCCAATTTTTATACTCTATGCCCTGACTAATAAAAGGCAAGCATACCATGATTTCTTGAACACCATTGTGTTGCCACTTTCAGCAAACTGTGGACTCTATATCTTGATGCTACTAAGAATTCTGCCATTTACTGTACACTTCTCTTCTGTGTTAGATCTTCCAAAATGCATCACCTTGCATTGGTCTGGATTAAACTCCATCTGCTATTTCTCTGCCCTAGTCACCAGCATATCTATATCCTCTGGGAATCCTGCTCACTATCCGAAGCTCCTCCAATCTTTGTGTCATCTGCAAACTTACTTATCAGGCCATCTACAATCTCTTCCAAATCATTTTATCTATCTATATATTACAAACAGTTCTCAGAACTAATCCCTTTGGAACGCCACTGGTCACAGACTTCCAGTCAGAAAAAGACCTTTCCACCCTAGTCTCTGTCTTCAATGACTAAACCAGGTCTGTAACCATCTTACAAACTCATCACTGATCCCATGAGACATCACCTTTTGTATCAGCTTGCCAATGTGGGCGAGGTGTTGGGAGGCGGGGTGCTGGAAAGGCTTTGCTAAAGTTCATATAGATAACATTCACTGCTCTGCCCTTTTCAATCATCTTTCTGATCTCCTCAAAAAACTCAAATTTGAGAGATGCAACCTTCCCCACACTAAACCATGCTGCCTATCACTAATAAGTCCATATGTTTTCCAAATGTGAGGAAATCCTATCCCTAAGAATCTTCACCAATAATTTCCCTATCACTGACGTTAGGCTCACCAGCCTGTAATTTCGCAGATTATCCCTTTTGCTCTTCTTAAACAAAGGAACAATGTTGGCTATTTTCCAACTTTGTACATTTTGACTGTGCAATTTAAAAGTTAAAATGGTGACTGCAAACATTAACATTTCTTTAAATGATAATTTCACCAATCCATCTTTTCACCAATCTATTATGAGGGGGCATAGTTTTAAAGTGAGTGGAGGTAGATATAGGAGAGACGTCAGAGGCAGGTTCTTTACTCAGAGAGTGGTAGGGGCATGGAATGCATTGCCGGAGAGGAGTGGAGTCAGCCTCATTAGGGGCATTTAAGCGGCGATTAGATAGGCACATGGATGATAGTATAAGGTAGGGGTGGAGGTGAGATAGACCTTAGGTTTAGGGTAAAAGTTCAGCACAACATCGTGGGCCGAAGGGCCTGTACTGTGCTGTACTGTTCTATGATCTATGTCTCAGTTCTCATGTCTCAAACAAGCAGTTATGAAGGAATGAGATAACAAGGTGTAGAGCTGGATGAACACAGCAGGCCAAGCAGCATCAGAAGAGCAGGAAAGCTGACGTTTTGGACCTAGACCTTTCTTCAGAAATGGGGGAAGGGAAGGGGGTTCTGAAATAAATAGGGAGAGAGCGGGAGGTGGATAGAAGATGGATAAAGGAGAAAATAGGTGGAGAGGAGACAGACAGGTCAAAGAGGCGGTGATGGAGCCAGTAAAGCTGAGTGTAGGTGGGGAGTTAGGGAGGGAATAGGTCAGTCTAGGGAGGACGGACAGGTCAAGGGGGCAGGATGAGGCTAGTAGGTAGGAGATGGGGGTGGGGCTTGAGGTGGAAGGAGGGGATAGGTGGGAGGAAGGACAGGTTAGGGAGGCAGGGACAAGCTGGGCTGGTTTTGGGAGGGGAGATTTTGAAGCTTGTGAAGTCCACATTGATACCGTTGGGCTGCAGGGTACCCAAGCGGAATATGAGGTGCTGTTCCTGCAACCTTCGGGTGGCATCATTGTGGCACTGCAGGAGGCCCAGGATGGACATGTCGTCTGAGGAATGGGAGGGGGAGTTGAAATGGTTCACAACTGGGAGGTGCGGTTGTTTAGTGTGAACCGAGCATAGGTGTTCCGCAAAGCGGTCCCCAAGCCTCCGCTTGGCTTCCCCGTTGTGGCCTCCTCTACATCGGGAACAGCGGATACAGTATACCACATTAGCAGATGTGCAGGTGAACATCTGCTTGATGTGGAAGGTCTTCTTGGGGCCTGGGATGGGGGTTGAGGGGGGAGGTGTAAGGGCAGGTGTAGCACTTCCTGTGGTTGCAGGGAAAAGTGCCGGGTGTAGTGGGGCTGGAGGGGAGTGTGGAGCGGACAAGGGAGTCACGGAGAGAGTCGTCCCTCCGGAAAGCAGATAAGGATGGGGAGGGAAAAATGTCTTTGGTAGTGGAGGAGTCGGAATGCAGATGGCGGAAGTGTCGGAGGATGATGCGTTAGATCCGGAGGTTGGTGGGGTGGTACGTGAGGATGAGGGGGATTCTGTTTTGGTTGTTATTGCAGGGAAGGGGTGTGAGGGATGAGGTGTGGGAAATGCGGGAGACACGTTCGAGGGCGTTCTCGACCACTGAGGTGGTGGTGGTGGGGGGGGGTGGGGAAGTTACGGAACTTGAAAAATGAGGACATCTGTGATGTTCGGGAGTGGAATGCCTCATCCTGGGAGTAGATACGGTGGAGACAAAGGAATTGGGAATAGAGGATGGCATTTTTGCAGGAAGGTGGGTGGGAGGAGGTGTATTCTAGGTAGCTGTGGTAGTCGGTGGGCTTGAAATGGATATCGGTTTCCAGGTGGTTGCCAGAGATGGAAACAGAGAGGTCCAGGAAGGAGAGAGAGGTATCAGAGATGTTCCTGGTGAACTTCAGGTTGGGGTGGAAGGTGTTGGTGAAGCGGATGAACTGTTCGAGCTCCTCATGGGAGCACGAGGCAGCGCCGATGCAGTCATCGATGTAACGGAGGAAGAGGTGGGGTTTAGGGCCAGTGTAGCTACGGAAGAGGGATTGTTCCACGTAACCTACAAAGAGGCAGGCATAGCTTGGGCCCATGCGGGTACCCATGGCCACCCCCTTTGTCTGTAGGAAGTGGGAGGAATTGAAAGAGAAGTTGTTAAGGGTGAGGACGAGTTCGGCTAAGCAGACGAGGGTGTCAGTGGGGGGGAACTGGTCGAGCCTGCGGGACAGGAAGAAGCGGAGGGCCTTTAGGCCATCTGCATGGGGAATGCAAGTGTATAGGGACTGGACATCCATGGTAAAGATGAGGTGTTGGGGACCAGGGAATTGGAAGTTTTGGAGGAGGTGGAGGGCATGGGTGGTATCACGGACGTAGGTGGGGAGTTGCTGGACCAAGGGGGAGAAAATGGAGTCGAGATGAGTTCGGTGGGGCAGGAGCAGGCGGAGACAATGGGTCGACCAGGGCAGTCAAGTTTGTGGATTTTGGG